TCGGAGGAACGATTACAAAGTCCTGAGACAGAGGGATGCTGAGAAAGCGAGTTAATACATCCTGCAGTGATAAAGTTCCGTGCCTGGAATCCCCGCAGGGTCCGTGTCTTGACCTAGACTGTCTTGAAGGGCTGGCAACCCCCTTTTGCAGTTCTCTCGAGTATTGCCCACCAAGTCCTTCCCTCCTTCGTTGAGAATCTAGAGTTTCATGTCTCCGCTAGCGCCCTGGCATCGGCAGCTGTTTTTTTACCTTGCCTTGCAGGTCCTGTGGACTAGTGTTTCCCCCTCTTCTCCCCTCTAATATGCTAAACTTCCAGTTTTTCTGAGAAGCCTGGAGGAAAAATTGGCAATTGTAAGCTCAGACTTCCTTCCGTGGGTGGCGCCTCTGGGGCAGCTTTAAGGAGCTAAGGTTAAAGAGAGCGTGGCATGGCATGGCAGCACAGGGGGGCCTGTTCCAGGGGTGATGGCCCTCCCCATGGACCACAAGGTCCTAGCTGTGGCCCGCAGTTTTTTTCAGCCCGTGCAGAAGGCGAGTGTCCTTCCTTTCCTCCTGCAAACTCTGCTATTTGTCAATCAAAGAGAAAGACTTCTGGAGAGCACTATTAAAAATCAGAGGAGCATCAAGTGGACCAGGGAGGACAGAAAGGCTGATTGATTGTAGGGTTGGATTAATTATGGTTGTTGCTAGAACGTGAGCTCCACATTCTTCGCTTCTCACTGAAATTTTTGATTTAAAATAGCTCATTTTGCTGCTGAATTTCAGCGGCCTGATTGTGGGGTGGGAGGGACTGCATCCTGTACATGGATCGCCCACACTTGAACTAACCTGGATTGTAGGTTTGGGGTTTATAACACAGTGCAACCTGGGAATCTGTTTAGTGTTATGCTGAAAGATGGTGTCTGCCAAAAGGTGGGTGACTCCCCCCATTGAGCGTTCGTCCTCTGTTGGGGTGCCCTGGGGACGGAGAGAAAGATGAAAGATTGAGGAAGGGCTCCAAGGGGTTCCCTGTCTCAAATGCCCGGTTGGTTCCCTTTTCTCCCCAACAGGCCGAGCCAGCGGGGGTCTTTGAGCTCCAGGTCCATTCCTTCACAACAAGCAACCCCCAGAAATTCTGCCGCGGGGCTCAACCCTGCCACCTCTTCTTCCGTGTCTGCCTCAAGCACGCCCAAGCTGTGGTGTCCCCGGAGCCCCCCTGCACCTTCGGGGCAGCCCTGAGCAACATCGTCCCTGCTGATCGTAATGTGGTGGCCACCAGTGGGCTCATCCGCGTCCCCTTCCACTTCAAGTGGCCGGTGAGATACTGTTCTGGGCGCGCCTTCTTTTATGTCTGCAGCAGCAAAGTGCTTGGTGCACTTCGTACCGTGCTCCCCCGAGGTCCCTCTGGGCCTAATTTCATCCTCTTGTTCCCTCGCTTGCACGTGGTTCCCATAGCTTCCCACGCTCGAGTTATTGTCCTTTGGTTGGGTGTGTCTGCCTGGTTTTGAACTGTAGCGACCGAAGCTGAAAAGAAAGAAAGAAGCTGAAAAGAAAGAAAGCGTAGTAGTATTACTCGTGCGTGTGCACGTGCACGTGCAAATGGTCAGTTGGGATTTGCTACAGACTTCTGACAATCTGCAGTGCCTCAGCAAAGATTTCCACTGCCCCATTCTGCCCCAAAGCAGCAACTCACCTGTTTTCTCTTCATCACTTCTTTCTGTGAGGTCACTGGAAAAGGGTGAGGGAAGGGGAAATTGGGAGGGAATACTCAGGCCTGGAGAGGCCCGGGCCTGGCTCTGCTCTTGAGTGCGTGTGTGTGGTGATGCCTGCACTGGTTCCTTTGTTTATGGCTTCGTCTTCACAATCAGCACATTTCACCAGGTCAGTTGTCTACAGCTGGATTTGGGCAAAACTAGGCATCAGTACGCTCTCCTCCAAGTTGGCTCCTGGCAACTTTGTGTACGTGTACGTAGAGTACTCTTTGCAACCCTACATAAGTGGTTTGCCATGACCAGTGGGGGGGGGGGATGCATTTAAACTTCACAGTGTAGCCTGAGATTTTTTTTTAGTGGTCTCCCATCCAGTTAGTAATTTGGTCCAGCTCCGCTTACCTCTCCCGTATCAGCCAAGGTTGGGGAGGTGCTGCCCCCAGCTGGGCAAGCTGAAAAGTAGCCACCTCCACTTAGTTGATGGTTCAGTGTGATGCGTAAACCCAGAAATTTGGTTTGAGAAACCCATGTTTCAGTCAATTATGGCTTAGTGTTGGGGGCCAGCTCTGCCTACATCTACTTGGTTGCTGAAGTTCTGCACTCCACAGTGTGCGGACGCAACGTTTTGTCCCATAAATCTAGGGTTGCCCACCTCAGCAGAGCTGGCCCATAATAACGTGCCCGGATTAAATTGAGGACTTTGCTGGTTATTGCAACCAAGTCGTCCCAACTTCTTCAACCCAGAATTGGCTCTGCCAAGACTTTGAAACTCACTTGTCTTGGTTAATGGAAAATATACTAAAAATGCGCGCTCCGAGAGAGGAAGGAGGCCAGTGGGTCTCCTGCCTCCCCATCATAACTTTGGGTCATCTTCTCCTCAGAAAAGAGTCAAAGGAACTCCTTGTTCTGGTCTTCGAAGGGGGTGGTTCTGCGCTGGCTCTTCAGAGAAGATGTTCAGTATTGGGAGGGCCCTGAAAGGGCGAAACCTTCTCCTTCCAAGTCTTCCAGGTCACTTGCGGTCATTAAAAATAATACATATTCATTGCAGGAAACGCGCGTGTGTGCACATTTCAGAAAAAGTCAGCCTCCGACAGGAGCCAGTGCGGTTATTGCAGGACCACTGTCGATACTTCTGAATTATTATTTGTCTCTTTCCGCTTTTAGGATTACGTGAAGTTTTTCTCTTTTCTTTCCTTCTTTCCAGGGCACCTTTTCCCTTATTATCGAATCTTGGAGGGCTGAATCAGGAGAGCCATCCACAGGTAAGCTGTGCCGGGCCCTTTTGTTGGTTGCCAAAAATTGGGGGGAGGAAAACCGGAATGTATGTATAAAACAGCTTCTCTATTCCTAGCAAGCTTTGAGATGAATGTTCCCCCCCCACCTTTTTTTTTTTTTAAGACAAATACATTGCCTGCAAAACTTGATGTTGGTTGGGTCTTTATATTATTGTGGGGAAAATACATTTTTTGGTGTTTTGATTCCACATTATTCTGTGCCATAATTCAGCAGGTTGGGTTGGGTTGGGTTGGGTTGGGTTGGGCACCCAGCCGTTATGGCCTGTGAATGGCTTATAGCTTAACGTGTTTTTCCAATAAATGTGAGAAAAGCAGATGGTCAGATTCTGTATTATCACATGCCTCCTGATCAGGGGTGTCTGCGGGCTATGATTTTATAACGTTGATGGCGGCCACGCTGGTGCAGTCAAGACAGATAAGAACAGGAGCAGCTTCAGTCCCATCATTGGGGCTGCCATCTTGACTCCCTGCTCCTAATGTTGGCATGCTTGCCAATCGAGCCATATTTTCTCAACTAGTTCCTCGAGAGAAGGGAATCGCCTCCCCATTTGGATAGCCCTGTGGCGTCTTTTAGGGCACACCTGGACTTGTGCGCAGCTTCTAAGCCTGGGGTCTCCCCGGGCCCCTCTCCTCCCGGAGGGCCTGCTGACCCTCCTCGTTCTTCCTTGCTCTCCCCTCTCCCAGAGGACGCCCAGAGGCTGGTCAGCCGTTTGGCAACCCGCCGTCGCTTGGCGGTGGGCGAGGACTGGTCGCAAGACGTGCAGCTTGGGGACCAGAGCGAGCTGCGCTACTCTTACCACGTCGCCTGTGACGAGCACTACCACGGGGAGAGCTGCTCCGCTTACTGCCGGCCACGAGATGATGCCTTCGGCCACTACACCTGCGATGAGCTGGGCAGCCGGATCTGCCTTGCGGGCTGGCAGGGCGACTATTGCTCGGAGCGTAAGTAGCTCGGAGGGAGCGTGGCAGGGAAGGGAAGCGCCGGGTGCTTCTGCTTCACTGCCTGCCTCCGGAGGGCCTTGGGCGTAGCCGTGCTCCCCCCGTGAGGGCTGCAGACGGGGGGCGCTTCTTTGCCAGGGGCAGACCGGCTCCGTGCAGCCGCTTGCTTACCTGAGAGTGGAAGGCCGCGGGTGACGCCCCTGCGGGGGGCTAGGCAGAACGCTGGGCTCCCTTTAGCACCGTTTTGAAAGGGCGACGTTCTGCCCGAGAAGCAGAAGCTGACGGCTCTTCTGCTTGGTTTTCTAAATCCGCTGAAAACGCAGGCACGTTGCATGGAAGGACTCCTGCCACCAAAGAAGTTCGGGGGCATAAAAAGCCATGCAAAGTGGTGTTCAGGGTCGGGTGGGTGACGTGGACGGCTATCCCAAACCTGTGGCTGGATTGAAGTGGGAAGTCAGAAAAGCATCTCGGACGAAGGCAGCGGAGAAGGGCTTCCATCTTATTGCCCCCCCCCCCCCCGGGCCGGGGAAGGGGGTTAATATCTGTGTGGGGGAAACGACGCCGGGAGTAGCTCCCCCAGCAGGGGCGGGGCCGGGAGCGCCCCG